ATATATATATATATATATAATAGAATCATGTTTACTGTAGTTCGTTTTACCTATTGTCTCACCATGTAGGTTCAAATAGAGACAAACCTTATAAACTTCGCATTAGGCGAAGGCGTCTTGAGGAATCGTTTATTCACTTATTTATGCTGGACTGAAATTTTTTTTATTAGGATCTATGCAAGTAGTGGGGGCATTCCAGGTGCATACATTTAACCTGATGGTCTTAAGTCTTAGGACACTGATCTTAGGTCTAGGAAAAGACGCAGGAAGCGCCACAAAATGCCTGAACGACACTTAATGGAAATACTTCCTTTGTTCCATGGATAAACTTATATTTTCCCTTAACACCAAAAGTAGCTGAAGAGTAGTTGTATTCTGCAAAGCGGTGATCGATTGGAAGATCTTTTTTAAGTAGCTTTCTGGCTCAAAATATACTGATCTGGGGTCTGGACGGGGGGAGGGGGGGAGCCAATTCTTTTTTGACGTTTCAATTAATACCCAGTCTCTCCTCTTGAAGCCTTTCTCCCAGTTTAATTTTAATGCTTAGTATTGTACTATTACCAACTAACCACATCAATTAGAGTCCGAGAATCATGATGGGTGTAGAAGACCTACCACACAAGCTCTTGCAACGCCAGATCAGTGGAAGCTCGATGGAAACCATTTATTATAAGGGACTTCTGCGTATGCCTCTTTACTTAAAGCGCAGATTGAGAAAATCTTCCCTCGGGGTCGCAACTGTTGCATGCAAGACAGCACAATCCGCCCGGCAAACGAATTCGATGCTTTTCTCTTCCTTGGCTTCTCTATCTTTGTCGGTCGTCGGTAGCGTTTTATGCTCAACTTTTCGTAGCCGACTACGAAAAAGACGGCCAACGTCGTCACAATCGGGACGACGTCGGGGCGCCTAACCTCGCTCAGCCCTGGTACGCCAAGTTTTGTCTGGTCATGGACAGTGGACATCTGTGTGGTCAGAGACAAACAGGTACACAGAGAAGTAACAACAAAGGACAGTACTAAGAAGATGGTGGATATGATGACAAAGGACAGGATGAACTGGGCCAAAGTTACGGCTTTCTTTAATGATATTATGAAAAGAAAAGAACAACTAGAAAGGATGAGACGTAAGAAAATAGATGAACGGCATACCCGAAACAATCATGGGCCCGATGCTCAACAACTGGAATTAGCGGAAGTACAGGGAGTACGGTTCCCCTCGAGACCCAGAGTTTATGGTCAAGAGGAAAGCCGGAATGGAGGATGGACTGGAACGGCTCAAAGGGAAGGATGATGAAATGACCGTTCCTGCAAGTCATGGTTTCGAAGTAATATCAAACATATCCCGAACCATGGCCCAAGCTGATAAAGGGGTCCTAGTGGGTGAGAGTACCACAGTACCGGACAAAGCACAGACGATGATGTCCGGTCTGCATAATGCATTTGCCCTTAACCTCCAAAAAAAAACAAAAAAGCCCTGGTACGCTTGCTGGACCAACAACAACGCACTAACCTAATCATAAAGCCACTAAATGACTCAAAAAATAGATCCTGATGTTTGATTTGTCCCAACTTGCACCTCTGGTGCTACTTCTGCG